CCCCCCCCACCCACAGCCGCCCCTATGGAGCCCCCCCACGCCTCATCCCTACCCCCACCCCCCACCTCCCACCAGGCCGCGGGGCCGGGCCTGGAGGGGTAGTGGGGGTCCAGCAGGCCGCGGTCTACTCCGGCCCTCCCCACACCGCCCCCAGGGCTGCCCCGCGTCCCCCCCCGCACCTCCCGCTGGCTCGGGGCCGCTCACCGGTCCCGTAGGGCCGCGCGGGGCGGAAGGAGGAGCTGCCGCCGCCGGACACCAGCGGGGCTCTGCCGCGCAGCGCAGCTTGCTGCCGCTACCACGCCCACCTCACCGACGGGCAGCGCCGCTGGCCAATCAGAGCTCGCGATCGGAGCGGGGAGGCGGAGCGAGACGCGGCCGCCAGGTTCGGTTGCGACGGAGGAGAGGGGAGGGGAGGAGGGGACGGGAGGGGCGGGGCGGGCGAGGAGCGGCGGGACGGGCAGCCAATGGCGGCGCGAGGCGGGGAGATGCAAATGAGTGTGTTAATATTCATGAGCGGGAAGGAAGCACGTGGCGGGTGGGGCGCGAGGCTCCGCTATGGCCCCGGGGGTTCGGACGGGAGCGCCCCAAAATACCGGTGCTGCACTGCGCGGTGCTTCCAGCGCCCTGCTGTGAGCCCGGGTGGGGGATGAGATCAGAGAGGCACCTTCCACCGCCTGCCCCTGTGCCTCAAATGCAGCAGTGCTGCTCTGCAGGGCTGGGCCGGGTGCGTGGTGCACAAATGCAACTAACCTGGCTGAGCCCCCCGGCCTTTGCAGTGGGGGAAATTCCCAGCAGTGCAGCAGCAGACACACCGTGTAGAGCTGAGTGCTGCTTGCACGGTGGTATTGGGGGTGGGGGCTGCAGCACCAGCTCCCTGCCCGCTGTGGGCATGGGCAGTGCCAGCATTGCATCGCCTCTGGGATGAAAACCCATAATCCTGTTAGTGGGAAGAAGGCTGATTTTCCCCTAATCCCGTTTGCGCCCATATGCCGTCCTCTAAGCCGCTTTGGCTGCAGATGGGTCCCTCGGTCACACCAGGATGGTGACGGCTCTGGGAGCCACGTTGTGTCCCAAGCATTGAGTTGTGTGCTGGCTGCAGGCCCAGGGGAGCAGAGTGTCCATGGCACAGGGCTGGAGTCACAGGGGGGGAAAAAGGCATCCCGATCCCACTGCAAGCTGCCATCCTTCACTGGGCACTGCAGCACGAGCTCAGAACCCCCCCAGGGAGGTATCAATACCTGGAGGGAGAGCCCCATCCTGCTCAGTTTGTTGCAAGAAAGCCCTTTCCCTCCATGTGGCTCCAGGGCTGCTGGGAGCACATACAGGGAGCATGCCGTGCCGTGCTGCGTTCTGCTCTGCTCTGCTGTGCCGCGCTGTGCTGTGCAGCGCTGTACCACGCCGTGCTGTGCTCTGCTGTGCCGTGCTGTGCCCTGCCGTGTCCCGCACCGCCAGCAGCATCCATTGCTCTCCACCTCCCTCACTCAGCCCCGTGCGGTGCTTTGACGTCGGAGGAGGAAGAAACGAATTGAGGGCTGAAGGCTTTTTATCAGAGCGCCTCTTCCTTCACTGCCTTCACTGCAGGGGGAGACGGGGGCAGCACGGACACAGAGAGGGTGGATGAGGGACACGGGAATGGGGGCAGCGATTTCCGTCAAGCGTGAATGTGCCACGGAGCCGCTGTCACCTCCAGCGGTGTCCTGGGAGCGCAGAGCTGCGCCGCCGTCACCCTGAGACCCTCCAGTCCCAGGCCTCGGGGCGGGGATCAGAGCGGGCGTCCTGCCTACCCGCATCCCAACGGAGCTGGGGGACGCAGAGCGGAGCTGCGAGCTGCCAAAGTCCCGGCGGCACCGCGACGTCCCCGTGGAGCTGCGATATCTCCACAAAGCCGTCGCATCCCCACGGCCATACGACACCCCGCACAGCCGCCATGGCCCCGCACAGCCGTGCCCTTGCAGGGGCCCTTTGCGGCCGCAGCAGCCCCGCACTCCCCCCGCCCGCACCCACACGCCTCCAGCGACCGGAGAGCAGATGGTTTCCATGGCGACAGGCACGATGATGACGCACTCTCTGCTCTCCCACCCCCTCCCCACGGGGCCGTCAGCCCTCGCTGCAGCGGGGGGCGGGGGCACCCAACAGCCGCCCCCGTGCGCGGGCACGCGTGTGCGCACGGGCTGCGTGGATGCTCGTGATCGCAAGCACCTGTGCACGCACGTGCACGTACACGCATGCACACTCGTGCACGTGCATGCACGCGTTCGCACACCCGTGCATCTGAACGTCCCCCCCACCCCACCACTGGGGGTGGGGGGGGGGGGGGGGGTGACCAGCAGCGTTTCCCAACTCCGTGGGGACGCAGCAGCGTTTCTTATCTCTTTATTGAAGGAAGACTATTTCTAGAATAAAGGCTACATCGTCACGTCGCCTCGTCCCTCGGTGGGGTCGGGTGGGTGTAAAACGCCGGAGGAGGAGCGGGGAGCAGGCACGGCCCCCCCCCATTGTGTGCACCCCATGGCATTGGGGCGGCCCCGGGGTGGGGGGCAGTAGGGCCGGAGTGAGGGGTGACCCCGCAGGGATGAGGGGCTGCTGGCGGCAGGGCCCTACTCCGGCCGGGGGGGCGGGGAGGGGGACAAGCAGAGGGCTCCGGGGGGGCGTGGGGCAGCGATGGGGGGGCAGAGCCTCGGGGGTACTGAGGGAGAGGGGGGACCCCGACCGCATGGTGGTGGATTTTGGGGTGCGGGGAGGGCTCTGCGTCCGAGCTCGCCAGGATTGTGCTGGGTCAGGACCTGCGCAGGACCCGATGCTTTGTGCTTGGGCTGGCGGCTCTGGGGGACGGGAGGGGGCTCAGCAGGGGGCAGCGGAGGGGGCTCCCACCCAGGGAAGGGCACCGTGCAGGAGGGACAGCCCAGGGCTGCTGTGACCGTCACCAGGGGGGTGGCTGCACCGCTGCCACGTTGCACAGCACACGGGGACCTGGGTGGGCGTCCACGGCCCCCGGTGGGGTCCCCCCATCCCATCCCCACACGCCTGTGTCCAGTTGTGCTGCAGCATGCACGCGGCCGGCCCCACAACCCCGTCCCACTCCACGAGGCCGAGGGTCCCCACGGGTCTGTGTCCCCAAACCCAACGATGGCCACAGCTGCCCCGCAGGCACCGCAGACGCAGGGAGCACACAGGGACAGCCCCACCACGGGGAGGTGGGGGGGGGGGCCGGGGGGCACGGGCCAGTCCGGGGTTCTACATGATGCTGCACTTCCCCTTGATTTTGTCTGTCCTCTTCTGCTTGCTGGAACGCTTCCCGTCGATGGTGAGGCTGACGTTCCTGCGCTTCTCCAGGTTGAGCAGCTCCTGGAAGAGCTCCTTCACGTTGTAGTTCATCTTGGCCGAGGTCTCCATGAAGGCGCATTTCCACTCCTTGGCCACGGCCTCCCCTTCCCTGCTCTCCACCTCCCGCTGCGTCTCGTCGCACTTGTTGCCCACCAGCATGATGGGGATGCTCTCCACGCTGCCCTTGATCTGCACGATCTGCTGGTAGATGGGCCTCAGCTCCTCCAGCGACTGCTTGCTGGTGACGGAGAACACCAGGATGAAGGCATGGCCCTTGGAGATGGACAGGCGCTGCATGGCTGGGAACTGATGGCTGCCGGTGGTGTCGGTGATCTGCAGCGTGCAGACGCTCTTGTCGCAGCTGATCACCTGCCTGTACGTGTCCTCGATGGTGGGGATGTAGGTGTCTCGGAACGTCCCCTTGACGAAGCGCAGCACTAACGAGCTCTTCCCCACACCGCCGGCACCAAACACCACCACGCGGTAATCGTTGCTCTGCTCCGGCATCGTGGCCCCCTGCTGCAAGGGATGGAGCACAGGGCACACATCACAGCTGCGGGATGGACCCCCACTGCCGGCCCTCTGCTCCCACTGTGTGCAACAGGGGGGGTCCCAGCGCAGCCCCCCGCCCTTGGGCCGCCCTTCAGGCTGTGGGGTGGCTCTTGCCGCCCGCCTGGGGTGCAGCAGCCTTTGCTATTTTTACCCCCCCCCCCACGCTGCGGCCATATGGCCGAGCCACAGCCAACGGCACAGCAGCTGTGATCGGAGCAGCACTGCCGGGGGGGGGGGGGGGGGGGGGGTGACACGGACACCCCCAGCAATGGGAGCAGCACAGTGGGGCAGCCCCCAGCCCGCTCCGACGGTCCCCAGAGCCCTGGGGCTGTGCTGTGGAGATGGATGTGCTGAGTAAGGAGGGGCCATTTCGTGCACAGAGCTCAGCGCCGCGCTGTGCCACCGCTCTGCCCTGCGGATGGTGTCACACAGCTGCGGGCTCACGGCACGACGGGTCCCCACGAGGTGTCCCCACATGTGGGGGCATCTCTGCTCCCCACGCAGAGCGCAAGCACTCGGGAGGTGCAAAGCGTGCCGTGCCACGGGGCTGCCATGCCGGCAGCGCCATCCCAAAGGAGGTGAGTGGGCACACAGGGATGGCACACGGTGCTGCTTTGGGGTCAGCTCTGCCCCACTCTTGGCATGTCCCATGTGCACCCAGGGGATGCGGACCTTTCGTGAGGTCCCACGGGCACCCATTGCCTCACAGCATTGCCTGGCACCGGGCGAGTACATGGGATGCAGCCAGAGCCCATCAGCACGGCCTCAGCACCTAAAGGTTTGGTTCTGTGCCATCTGGAGGCGTCGGAGCTGCACGGGGATGGAGCAGAGGCCGTGATGGCAGAGCAGCCCTGTGCCATCATCCCCGTGCCACCATCATCCCCGTGCCACCACCATCTCCGTGGCACCTGCCTGCAGCGGTGCCGAGTACCACATCCCCGCTGCCATGGGGTGCCAAGGGGTGGGAAGGGGCCTCCACGGCACCCACGGGTGCTGCAGAGCCCCGTGCAGCCCCGACCTGCGCTTCTCCCCGGTGCTGAGGACGGCGCCTGAGCCCCCCCCGGAGCTCCGCACCATCAGCGGGGGAGGGGGGGGGAACGGGGGGAAACACACAAACATGCGGGGCTGGGGTCGGGATGGGGGGCGGAGAGAGACGGGATGGGGCAGAACGGAGGGGCGGGATGCAGGATGGGGGCAGGATGGGGGCAGGGCAGGACGGTCCCCGTGCCCGCCCGCTCCCCGCCGTCCCTGCCTTTGCCCAGGGCATCCCCTACCTCCCCCCCCCCCCCCGCCGCCCCCGGCCCCGCTCCCCCCGCGCGGGCGCATTGCGGTGCCGCCGCCTCACCGTGCGCTGCCCGGGATCCGCCCTTGGCTGCGGGCTGCACCGCGGCGTCAGCGCATGGCCCGGCCCGGCGCTGTGCGGTTCCGATGCGGCGGCCGCTGTCCGCTCGCTTCGGTTCGGTTTTCGGTTCGGCGCGGTTCCGCCCGGTGCGGTGCGGTGATGCGGGGCCGGCGCGGCTCTGCGGGGCTCAGCTCGGCACGGCGCGGTGCGGTGCGGCCGCCGCAGAGCCGATCCCGCCCCGCCGCCGGCCCCGCCCGCCGCGCCCGCCCCACCCGGGGCTGCCGGACCCCCCGGTACAGCCCCGAACGGCGGCGGAACGGGAGGGGACGGACGGACGGACGGACGGACGGACAGGGGTGGGACAAACGGACGGGGATGGGACACGCGTGACTTGGGACACGGATACGGAGATGGGGACGCAACGACACGGGGACGTCTGACGGGGCTGGGGACGGACAGACGGGGGCAGACGGACGCCCGGATGGGGGGCAGAGCCGTCGGAACCGCTGCGGCCGCTCAAGGGAACCGGACCGCGCTTCGGGTTCACGGTTCCCCCACCACCACCGGCACGGGACCGGGGCTGCGTTCCCCACTAACAGCGAGGGGCTGCAGCCCCCACAAAAGGCTCTGGGGGCGGCGCTGTGCGGCCGGGGCGCTCGCTCTCCATCCAGAGCAGCAGCAATTAAAATCCGCAGCTGCTATTAAGAGCAGCCAGCAGAGGAGCGGGGCTCCAGCACCCAAACACCAACACAGGGCTTTGGCTGCGCTTTTTGGGGACGAGCTGACAGCAGCCGCAGCCCCCCTTCCCCCCTCGCCCCCCCCCCGGACCCCCGGCAGCGCTACCAGCCGTTCAGATGCCGCTCATTGCAGGGGATGAATGAGTTCCCTTCAGCATTTTCACTGCGGCTCCTCCTCCGTTCATTCACTCCGCAGCTCCCCACGATGCCGGGCGCTGCGGGGGCTTCCCAGGAACACACAGCACAGAGCGGGGCTTCGTCGGGAGGGCCTCATCTTTCCCCAATCCATACATCAGAGCATCAGTCCCACTGCAGAGCACCCCAGGGACCCCCAGCGAGTGGGGAAATGCCCGAGCTCAGCCCTGCTGTGCGCTGCCTGGCAGAGGTGCAATAACACACACGGATTCGCTGCATGGAGACAAATGAGATTCTCATCAGGCCCTGCTGATCTGTGCCAGCCCAGGCCTAAAATAACGCTCCCTTCCTCTCCTCCCCCCCCCCTTTCGCCACTCCAGGTTGCTTCAAAGCAAGATTAATTGACTTTGGTGCGCCGCAGCAATTAAAGCACCGAGCACCAGGCCCTGTCAGATGATCCTCATCAGCCTCCATATGCTGCAGCTGTGCCAACCGCTGCTCCAAGATGCTGCCTCGCAGTCTCCCCCCATCCCTCTTGCTGTTTGGCTCATTGCAGCACGGCTCGGCCCCTTCTCCACGTCCTTAGGATTCCATCAGTGCTTCCAGGAGCTCTGCTCTGCCTGGGGGAGCTGCTGCACGACTGATGGCCACGGAGAATGGAAGCAGAGCCCCCGCGAGAGCAGCGCGCTGAGCTCCTCAGCATGAGGGCAAGCAGAGCGGATCGCAAGGGACCGTGATGTGCTGAGCCCCGGGGATGCAGCAAGGTGCTCAGGCACAGCGCAGCCTTGGCTCTGCCCTACAGCTCATCGACCTCTGGGGAAGAAATATCCCTGAAAGCACCGACAAAATGGCCCTGCACAGCCTCAGCACTGCCAGCACGGGTAGAGCTCCCCTCGCTGCTGTGACTCAAACGTGGGTGTCTGGCTTGGAAACATTGCTGCTGTGCATCGCTGCCGCCCATCTCTTGCCATCTGCTGGACCCTGGGCTGCAGGAGAGCATCCAAAGGCCTCCCAGGTACGGATGGGAGGCTTTTCCAGCAGAGCTGAGGTTTTCTATAGGGAATGCACAACACGGGGTTGAGGTGGGGGGAATGGTGCAGGGCACGGAGCCCAGCCTCGTTTCTTCATTAATCACTAAGAAAAGCTCCATTTGTGGGTCAAAATGGAGCTCGGAGCTGTGGCAGCAGTGGCACCGAGCAGCCCCAGAAGGGATGTTATTTTTGGCAGCTATTACAACCAGGTTTTGCTCAAAACTAAGCTAGCAAAAGCAGCTTAGTGCAGCTGTGCCATCCGCGCTCACACCTGCCTCTGCCTGCGCTTCTGCCGCAGTTCCTCCCCTTCTCAGAGCCCGAGCAGCAGGGAAGAACCCCGCAGCCAAATGCAGTGCAGGGGGAGCAGGGAGGAGGGGGTGGCCGTGTGGACCAACAGGGAATGAGATGCGTGCTGAGCTCCTGGGACACGGCCTCAGAACTGCAGCGTTTGTGTCCAGCACGAGCTGCTGCACCTGCAGATCCAGCAGGCAGCGACAGGACCTTGAGGCGCCTGCATTGGGGCGCTGCGTTGTTCTTCATTCCCTCTGAGCACGCAGACGTTCTCCTTGGGGTCAGTACTGCAATACCAGCAGGCCGTGATGTTTGGCTTTGCTGCTGAGCTCCGGTGTCCCCCTGAGTGGTGGGGATGGCTGTGTGGGGAGGAGGTGAGCTTCGTTTCCCACCTCACCACTTGAGGAAAACCAGCCCAGCCAGCACCGCGTAACCCAGCACCAGGAAGAGGACCTTCAAGAGACGACTGCTCTTGTCTTCCAGCTCCTTCGCCAGGATCTCAAAGAAGGTGATGAACAAGAAAGTGCCCCCTGCAACGCCTTGCAGGAGCAGAGAAGTGATGCTGCCCGCCGTGCTCTGGGTGCTCTCGATCCCCATCCCAATGCTGATGCCCAGAGGGATCATCAGGCTCACCGTCACCGCCAGCTTGGCAGCGTCCTTCATGGGCAGCGAGGCCTTGGCCATGCTGATGCCCAAAGCCACGGCCACCAGCGTCTCATGGATGGCAACGCCCAGGAACAAGCTCAGCACTCTGCTTCCCTCCTCCTGCAAGCCCAGGGCCAGGCCCTCAAAGATGGAGTGAGTGCACAAAGCGAACACCAGGCTGACCAGGCGCAGGGGGCTGGAGCGGGACAGCTGGTGGACATTCAAACCATGGCTGTGGGAGAGCCGGCCGTGCTCAGCGTGCAGAGCGCTGCCCCGTGGGGCTGCAATGAAGGGACTCTCGTATTCAGAGTCGCTCCCGGCGTCCGAACCGGCGTTGAAGGTTTCTAAGTCAATAAATGAGGGCTTTTCCTTTTGGAAGGTCAAAACGAGCTGCTCCACAAACACCGTCATGAAGAAGCCAAGCATCATGATGGTCTCGGCCACCGGGTAGTCTGTGGTCACGTTCCCTTGCTTAAGGACTTCATCGAGCTGGAACAAAGCACACAGCCCTGTGTCAGCTGCTTTTTGCCCTCCATAGGCACACAGAGCATCACCAGGAGGCTCTCAGGGCTTCCTACAAAACTCCTTTTGGGAGGAAAGTCTCTGACAGGCAACACGGGGGGGGGGAAGCTTGGCTCTGTAACAGTGAAATATTCCTGCTGCGTTCACACAGCTCCAGAGGGAGATTAAACTGATCCAGGATGCTTTAACGCCCTCGCATTCAGACCTCGGGGTGAGACAGGGAACCTGTTAGCTTCACACAGAGCTCAGTGGCCATCTGACCACTGATGTTTTAAACGCAGGCCTGGAGTCAGGAGTTTGAGCCTAAAGCCCCAGGCGATGCTCAGCCTCCTCCTGCACCAAACAAGCCTAGCTTTCCAACCAAACAGTACCCGAATGGAAGGAGGGGGCTCTGTGGTTACAGACAGCCCTCAACGCCTCCAATTCCACAGGGAATTGAGCTGAGCTCCCCGTGGGGCTCAGGCACCCCGTTACCTTTCCTCTCACGGCGGGCAGCAGGGCGTTGAAGCAGGTGGCCAGGAAGACCCCTCCTCCAAAAGAATTGCAGAGGGTGATGAGCTTCCTGGAGCGCTGAGCCTTCTCGTAATCAGCCTCGATGATCTTGACGGGGAGGAGGGACCCGGCCAGCATGAGGACACAGATGCCCAGCAGACACAGCACTTTGGCTGCCACAACCTTCATGGTGCTGCCCTGCAGCAGCTCTCAGAGCAGCGGGTGCATCAGCAGGAGAGAGAGCGCGGGCAAAGTGCAGGGAAAGGAGCTCCTGGAGCTGGTAGCTGTGGACAGGAGAGGAGAGTTTTGCTGTGTATTTAGCATGTAGAAGAGCACCTTGCACCCCAGCTGTGTGCCAGCCCCTGTGCAGGAAGGACCCGAGCTCTGCCTTCACTCTGCTAGGCGATGAGTGGGGAGATCACAGAGAGGCACAGAGCTCTCACACAACTGAACTGCAGCAAACAGGAACTCCAAAACCTTGCAAGAGCTGCATTGGCTGCACGAAACTGGCACAGCCTCAGCTGGTGGAGGTTTTAATCCACTCCATCTCGCAGTGAGACCCACCTGAGTCCAAAGGGTCAAGACATTGGTTTTAACCACGAGAAATGAGTAAGGGCTTGAGCTGACAGCCTTCAGCTTCGTTCAGGAATGAAATTAAAGATCCCCTTCCAGCACTCATGCAGGGTTTGGGGTTGTTTTTTTTTTGCACTGTCCTCAAAACCAGACCAGCAGATTCAATTTCCTCAGCCCCTTCTGCAGTCCCTGTCGGTGCTGCCTGGCTGCTTGTGGCTCTGATCCGTTGGCACCTCTCTCAAGGAAAACCCCGTGCAGAAATGCACTGTGAGGTCCCCTACTGTTCACAGGGTGTAACAAATGAGGCAAACCAGGTGGTGGTTTTACATCAGAGAGAAATGCAACATCTGAGTAGTAGCCTGGGTCCTGAAACTGACTCCATCTGAAACGGGTTTGCCTCCAGATCACACGCAGCGAAACCCATTTAAAATGATTTTAGGAAAGTGACAAAATGGAATCTATTTACATAACATGAACAGGTGCCTCTGCTGACTGCTCTGCTCTGCTGATGAGCACAGGCAGCACTGTACCCCTGCTGGCATCAGATAGCAGCCCCAAACTGAGCTGTGCTCACACACACCCTCGCACCAGTGCTGGACGAGGTAAATAATTGGATAGCTGCCCATTGGACCATCAAATTA